AGGACAAAGGACTTGGACAGAGCCTTACGAAGTTCTTAAATCAGCCATGGACTCTGGAAGTCCCTTGAGTTTTTGCCTTCTGGTTTTATCCAGACATGGAGCATGAGCCCGGATTTCTCCCATCCTCACTCATTCCTACACGTAGTACACTCATTCACGTCCTTTAGCCTGAGATATGCGCCTTAGAGAAAATCTGCAGACTCTGCCCCTCACCACGCTTTGCCTCACAGGAATCAGCTTCTTTGGGATATTTTCTCACATTTTACAAAACTCCGCCCTAGAAAGAAGATGTGAAACTTGCGGTGAAATGAGACTGAATAATAAGACTTGATTAGGTCCAAAGATTTAAGGGAAAGAACATTTCCTTGTTTCATAATTTCAGATTCAAGGTCTTAAATGTAGAATATTAGAGTGGGAAGGAACATTCAAGATAATGCAGAAGCAAAATAAAAATAGAGACTCAGAGAAAGAAAATGAAGAAACAATGTGTTCCACGGATGCCACTGCTTCTGAGCCAACTTTCCCTGCCCTCTTAACTCCGTGAGCCCCTTCAAGCTTCTCTTCCTGCACGAGTGATCTCAAACTTCTGATGGTTTTGTTTCTATAGCAAAAGTCAGTTTCTGTCACTTGCAACTCACTGGGCCTACCAGATGAATAGATGAGTAGGAAATAGCAGTGAGGAGTAAGCAGACAGATAAGACACAAAGAGACACAGAGGCTGAATCCTGTGACTGTTTCAAGTTTGAGTCCTGGTCTGTGCATATCCTTAAAAATAAACCTCGTCTTGCAGTGGAGGTAGTAAATGTTGCTTTTTTTGTTTTAGCCTTAATCAAGACTCCTTCAATGTCAAGTCATGATAAAATACCTAACCAGCTTTCAGGGCCCATGCCTAGACGCAGCATGGCTGGATGCAGAGCCTCAATGGACAGCATTGGGAATCTGAGTTTCCATGTTTTCCTTCTCCTTTCCTCTTGGTGGGCTTCATTCTCAGTATCTCCTCTTGTTGGCAGAGGTGGTCACTGGGAGCCTCGCGCTTCTTTCAAACAAGTTCAACATCCCAGAAAAAAGTTTCTCTTTTCTAGTAGCTTTAAAGGAAGTTATGTAGTTGATTTTCACTGAGAAGATTTGAATTGCTTTTAGTTATTGAGATGTAAATTAGAAAAATTGTGGTATAGATGAGAGTCCTGGCTGCTCCCCTTTTTAATCCAGCTCCCTGCTAATATACCTGGGAAAGCAGTGGAGGATGAACCAAGTCTTTGGACCCTGCATCCAAATGGGAGACCTGTAAGAAGCTCTAGGCTCCTGGCTTTGAACCTGCCCAGCTCTGTCTTTTGTGGCCATGTGAAGAGTGAACAGAAGACAGAAGACTCTCCCTCTCTCTCTGTAACTCTGCCTTTCCAACAAATAAGAAGGATTTTAAAATAATAAAGAAAAGGCTGGTGTGGTCATTGTCAAGTATGTGACTGTGGACTAGGCTCAGTTCAAAAATACTGCATGCAGAAAGAATAAGGGAAAACTATCTCTCTAAAAGTGACAGAAAGCACTGGCTCTCCGCAGCTAATCTTTCATTCTGCTTTGGTAACAAACAAACTCTACAAATTTTAGCCAGGCCCAAAGCCACCCAAAATCAAGACAACATTTTGAAGGATGTCTTAAAACTAGAGAGCATGTGACAAAGTTTTGATCAATTGAATACAGGTGAATATTTTACAATAGCTTCCAAGAAATATCCTTCAAAAGATCTGGCCTTTTGCTTCCTTACCAATGGTCAGAATGTGAATATGAGAGCTGGAGATGACTAAATCTTCTTGGAACACAGGATGACATTACCACAGAGGAACACAGCCAAGCATGAAGCACGCATACCCTCCCTGAATGAGCTTCATCCAGACGTTCACTCAATCGAAACATAAACACATATTTTGTGTATTTGTGACATGACAAACTACATAACTCAGCATGAGTCTACTTGATATACTCAAAGAAGAATCATGGTAATATTGCAAACTAATAGGCATAGGGAGGGATGGGCAGGCATGCCTTGCTCCCTAAGAATGTTATCCCAGTCATGGTCATTATTCCAGTTGGACATTTGAAGAGAAAAATGTGCTTGGCATGAGTGTACTTTGAACTTCGGAGTTTATGAATCCAAAGAGGAAAAACAATTTAAATATTAAGCCAAATACAGAATTATGAGAAACATCTATAGCCATGAATTTTTTTTTCCTAAGAAGCAAAAAAAGCATTTGTCAGGGAGAATTACTCTACATTTAACCTCGCAATCTTAACAATAGAGTGCAGAAATAACAGGTTCATAATTTGAAAAACTGCTGAAAAATATATATTAGAACTCCTTTCAGCATATTTGTTTTGACATTTTTATTAACGACTTGAATGAGGAATTAATTAAATTGTAATCAAATGTGGAGATGACATGATGCCAAGAAAATGGTCCATGCCTTGGATAATGGAGTTATGGAAACAGAGTTACGAAACATCAGAACCCAAAAGGCCTTAAAGTTAGTCATACTCCACATTTTACAGTTGAGGAAACTGAGGCTTAGCTGGCAACCCATTCGCCAATGCAGCCTGGAACCAAGGATCAAGCTTTGATACAATCATTCTACTTTTTCTTTTTAAATAAATGAAAGTTACATCATGCCTTGAGATTTAAAAAAAAAAAAACTGGGGCAGTGAACTGATGAGACAAGATGACATTTAATCAGAACCAACGTGTAAGAACCTCCATGTCCAAAAAAAAAAAATCCTCCTGCACATGCACAGTATGGGGTAGATGTGTTTAATCAGTGGCACTTACAAGAAACACTCAGAGATGGTACTCGGTGGCTGGCTGGAGATGTCAGCACCAAGATGTAGCTACAAGAAAAGATAACATGGTCTTAGGTCACATTACCAGGAATAGAGCTTAGAGAATGGAAGACAGAATTTTGTTGAACTTTTCACTCCATATCAGCATTCTTCATTCTGTCCCTCTCTTAGAAGAGACAAGTTAGTTCACAGCTAGCCTGGGAGGGGACTTTGTGAATAATGGTCAAAAGAAGTTGGAAAGCTATTATGAACTGCAATTAGAAACTTGCTCGTGGAGTTAGACTGCCTGGGTTTAATCCTAGCTCTGACAATTATTTAGGATTATCATAACACTTATCTCCAAAGATCACCACCCCCCCCCCCCAGTGTAGTACATGTCACGTGATTAGCACAACGCCGACATCAAGCAAGCATGCAATACATGTTAGCTTCTATTGGAATTAAGAAAGCAAAGTGTCATGGGGATAGTGGTAACAAACTCATAGGTTGGGATGAATATTAAACAAATCAACACATATCATGTGCTTGTCACAAAGCTGGTAGCTGTTATGATTAGCTGCAGAATGGGGGTTGACCTAAGGTTTCTAGGGACAAGCCTGGACTAGGGATAGAACAGAGGACGAAATCATCGCCTGCAGAGTCAGCATCCTGTATGAGCGCTGGTTCAAGCCCCGGCTGCTCTGTATCTGGCCCAGTTCCAGGCTAAAGTTTCCTGGAAGCCTGCAGATGCTGTAACAAGTACTCGACTTTTTGCCACCTAAGGAGGAGACCCAGATGGAACCCCGGTCTCCTCCCCAGCTATTTTGGCCATTTGGAAAGTGAACCAGTGGATAGATGACCTAATTTTGTGTGTCTCCCTCTTTGGCTGTCACTCAGCCTTTCAAGTAAATAACAAAGACCTCCAGAATTTTTAAAAAATATCCCCCCGTGATCTATGGGACTTTATGATCAGGTGAGTCCTTGAAGAAGAAAGTCAGCTGTAGCTGACGGCCATCCAGACATCCCTTGGGGCAACTCGCTCTGTGGTCACCAGGACATAGGTGACTTGGCCTTGCTGCTGAGGGATAAACTGTCAAGTTGGCCGTGGACATTCAAGTCTATCTTTAGGTCAGCTTATGATGGCAGATATTCACGTGGTCCCTTAGGAAAGTACTGGGAATGCCACTCAGGCCCACAGTAGACTTAGTCACAGAGAACTGTCTTGTGGGCAATCACTTAAGAACCTTCAGAGTGAAATGGCTTCTGGATGAGTCCTTCCTGTCCTTGTCTCCTCCTATCACAGCCACTGCCTGTGCACCCCAGCTGGGCCCTTAGCGACCCTGCGACACCCTGGACAGCTCCCCGGGGAGCAGTCCACCGCCAGGGGGCGGCCTCTTGCGCGCCATTCGCAGCTTCTGGCTTGTTCTCTGGCCAGCAGCGGGGAGAAGGTGGAGGATAGGGGCGCGAGGGACTGGGGTTGTGCTTCGCTGGTGCCAGCCGCCGGGGTGTGAGTCAGCGTGAGGGGGAAAAAGGAGGGGCCGAGAAGCTCGATTAAATAGTCACGGAGTCTCACTTATGCTCAGCCCCTCCACCCTTCCCGTCTATAGGGTCCGTTACCGCGGTGCGCCCCGGGTGTGACTGGCGCGACGGCAGGGGAGGAGGGTGTGTCCCCGTCCACGCTTCTATGGCCGGGTTAGGGGCTTTCTCCTCCTTCCGACCTCCCCACCGTGTGGAGTGTGGGGGTGTGTCCAGGTCAGGACGTGCAAGCTGTGTGCGCGCTTGCGGGTGTGTGGGTCACTGCGGTGGGACTGCTTCTGCGCCCAGGTCTCTCTATTTGGTCTGGATGTTGGCGCAATCTCAACCTGTGTTTCCAGCTCTGGGGGTCCGGAGGCCAGCGTGGTGGCAATGTCCAGCCTCCTGGTGGAGTATGCTGTGTGCCTCAACACCCTCCCCTCGCCGCCCCGGTCTGCCCAGGGATCCTTAAGGGGAGGCCTGTGTGGGAAAGGGCCTGGGGAGGCAAGCCCCCGGGAGGGATGAGAAAGAGAGGGGCGCAGGGGGCGGGCCAGGTCCCCGGGCGCGGCACGGGCTCGGGGGACCCGCGCGGCTGACGTCAGGCGACTCCTTAAATAGAGCCGGCAGCGCGCTCAGCTCGGCATTTCCCGAGGAGCCCGTTCGCGGCCGGCGCCAGCGCCACCGTCCGGCTCGCCCGCCACAGGCACAGCCACGCCGCGGCCGAGCGTTCCGTGCGCCGCGCTCCGCGGAGCCAGAATGGGGCTTCGGGCGCTGGGCGCGCTCCGGTCGCGGCGCACGTAAGAACCGAAGAGCGCCAGGAGCCGTCCCGCTGCCCGGAGCCCCATCGCCTGGAACCAGGAGGAGATGCGGGGAATACCGCCGCCCGTTCCCCAAGGAGCCGCCGCCTCCGGGATCCCCGGGTGCGGTGCGCGCCCCGGCCAGCAGCAGCAGCAGCAGCGCCTGGAGAAGACGGCGCGCCCTACGTCCGACCCGCGCGACCCGGGCAGCGCCGCGCCAGCCCTCTAGGCGACCGCAGGGCCACAGCAGCTCCGCCGCAGGTGTCCCTCGGAAGCCATGACCCCCGGCGCGGGCCCATGGAGCCATGGCCTATAGGGTCCTGGGCCGCGCGGGGCCACCTCAGCCGCGGAGGGCGCGCAGGCTGCTCTTCGCCTTCACGCTGTCGCTGTCCTGCACTTACTTGTGCTACAGCTTCCTCTGCTGTTGCGACGTCCTGGGCCGGAGCCGCCTTCTCGGAGCGCCCCGCTGCCTCCACGGGCCCGGCGCGGGCGGCCAGAAACTTCTCCCGAAGTCCCGCCCTTGCGATCCCCCTGGGCCGACGCCCAGTGAGCCCAGCGCTCCCAGCGCGCCCTCCGCCGCCGCCGCCGCCGCCGTGCCCGCCCCTCGCCTCTCGGGTTCCAACCACTCGGGCTCGCCGAAGCTGGGAACCAAGCGGCTGCCCCAAGCCCTCATTGTGGGTGTAAAAAAGGGGGGCACCCGGGCCGTGCTGGAGTTTATCCGTGTGCACCCGGACGTGCGGGCCTTGGGCACGGAGCCCCACTTCTTCGACAGGAACTACGGCCGAGGACTAGACTGGTACAGGTAAGGCGCTTCCTCCCCACTGCGCTCCAAGGGTCTCCCATGGGCTACCCCCTAGGAACCGGCTCCCTGCGATTTCTCTTTCCTCCCGCTGGTTGTGTGGAGTTAGGCGGACACGTGTTGGGACCCTGGCAGAAAGATTTGCCGAAAACTTCCCAGTGATGGTCTTGCCCTACCAAGGGCGTTTCCACTAGGATTGGCTAGAAAAAGAAGGAAGGGCCACAGGCCACCCTCGCTGTGGGCTGGAGGGCTTTTTCTGTGCCCAGAGGGGTTCCAAGGAAGGGGCCGGCCAGAACGCACTCCCATCACGACTTGGGGAAAATTCTTCCTGCTCCATGGTGCCCTGGGGGGAGGGGGCACCCTTCTCAAAGTGAGTCAGAATAGAGATCCTTGGGGGCCTGGCTGTGTTTGGGAGAAACCCCAACCCCTTCCCCGGGAGCTCAGACCAAATGTGAGGACAGCAGCCCAGGGTTCGGAGTGCGAAGGAGCCCTTAAGGGGATCCCATTCTCAGTGGCCAGGTCTTTCCTGCTGTACCTGGGCCAGACCCTCAGTTGCTTCCAGCCCTGGGGACGGTGGTCTTGGAGCACATGGGAAGAACCTCGGATACTAGTCTTGGCTTGTTTGCTTAGTTTGGGCAAGTTCCTTAAACTGCCCCAGCCTTGATTCTCCCCCTTCATCACCACAGACAGCAAAAAGTGACTTTTTGCCATGGTTGCCTCTGAGGTCTTTGCACTAGAAAAGAAACTTCGACACTGGGTGATGCCTGTACACATGTGGGCCTGGGAATCCCAGTGGGCATCTCAGGGTAAGGCTGACCAAGTCACGTGGAGACTGCTCTCTGCTGCACTGCCAGGGGTGACTTATCTGGGCTGATGGTGTCTGGCAGCACTGTGAGCCTCTTCAATGCATGACGCTGAAGTGTAGGGTGGCCAGTATGTGGCCTGATCAGGGCATCCCTCGGGTGGCAAAATGTATGGAGTTCCTGGGTCACAGGTGAACAGTGGTCCACCTGCCCCCCTGAAGACCTCCTAGAATCCCCTGCCCAGTGAGGCTGCTTCCTTTCATTTTAAAGAAACCTTGAGGCAGTGGAGGTCATGTTTATATTGGACCAAGGCCAACTTCATTAGAAAGAAGACCTCGCTGAACTCTTCATAGCGGGTCCTGGATTTGCAAAGAAGCTGGCACTGCAGGGACTGACGTGGCCTCTTTTGCCTGTGAAACCTGGCCTGCAGTGGTTGTGGTTGTGGGGGCAAGGGATGTGTCATGCACCCTCCTCAGGAGACAGACACACTGGGTCCCAGCAATGTTGTGTGCAGTTGGTGGAATGTTGGCACTCAGGGGTGGGTTTGGCTCTATGTCGAGACTGTTGGCTCTCTGCATTGAAGCTGTAACCCACAGGTAGGTGTGTGACACTGTGCCTGACCCCAGGGTGACAGAAGTCAATGTGATGAGCAGCAGAGACTTGCTGCAGTGGGTCAGCCATGGCCACATTCACATGCATGCCAGGGCTTCCTGGATGGGGAATCTGAAAATCATTACAAAACCTTTAGCCAATCTGAAGAGTCTTTTAAGTGCAAAATAGCAACACTGTGAAATCTGGCTTTCAGAGAGTGCGGTCCGATAAACACCTGCACTTGGAACCCAGGCTCTGCCCACTCCCTTCTCTCTTTGCCACCGCCACCAAACAGCACACCTCAGCCTTCCTTCCCAGAGCCCATGTCATTCAGGGATGGCTGCTTTTTATTTTTAACCTTGGCATGTGTGATTCTAAGCCAGCTTAGCTGTGAACCTTAGAGATGGGAGCCATATCTTTTTTTTTTTTTTTTTTTTTTTAGCACATTTGGATTCTGCTAAAATTCTCAGCTTAGTCTTGGTAGGTTTTATTTAACATCAAGCACTCTGACAGCTCCACTTTTCTCTCCATTCCTCCCCGCTTTCCTCTTTTGGGTTTCTATAAGAAAGACTGTGCAAAGGTCCGGTCAATCATAGTCATCCTGTCTCCAGCACTTGCCTGGAAGGGTAGGAGCCCACAGCATCCGCACAGTGTTTCTCACTGACACAGATGGACAGTCTGAATCAAGGGTTTCGTTTGTGGGTTGCCTTTTCTGTGCAAGGCGCTACTGCCCATTAGGATGCAGTTTCTTTCATCTCCAGGGCACTTCTCCGTGTGTTTTTGACCCTTTATGATCATCCCAGTGTTGAGCATGAATTGAAGCGATGATGCGAATTTCTTGGATCCTTAAAAACCATGCCATCTTTCTTTTGAATTTCATGAGACAGATGGCACAGGTGACAGTATCCTATCAGGATCCCTATCCTTTCACAGCTTGCCATGACAAAGCCAGTGTCCAACGCATCCACATGACCAAGGAGTTCTTGTACTGCCCACTGGGTTGGACTTCTTATTTCCCAAAGTGATGCTGCAGAGTTGTCAGTAAAGGCTGTTATTCTGATTTGCCCATGGTGAAGCAATGACTTCCAACGGAAAACTCAACAACTTTAAACCCTTAGCCCAAAGGGAAAATTTCTTCCCATGGGCAATGGGGACTTCGATGCTGAAGGCAAACAGTATAGCCAGCAGCCTGGCAAAATAGGACACAGAACTCCCACTTTCTTTACTTCTAGCCCGAGCCTCTTTTGGGGAACCAGCCCAGGCAGGCCAACCTCACAGAGCCCCGCCCTCTGCTGTAGGATCCCTCCCATCTGATACCTTTCTGGATAGCTGCTGGGATGCCTCCCTCCCCTGTGGACTTGGTTTGGGATTTCCTCTTTAACTTTCCTCCCCAAGGTAACAGCTGGCCCCACAGGGTAGGAACTGCAAGTCATCTGGACAGAAAGGTGACACCAGGGAACCAGAAGACCAAGGGTGGCCACCAAGTGCTGTGTGATTTGAAGCAGCGTGGTGCCCTTGGGTCCTGACTGCTTTGCCATCAAATGGGACCTGCTCTCACCGTCTTTGAAACATGTTTTCAATTCATGGAGGTAACCTGGGCATCCCCTTGGCATGTGAAGTTCCAGGAGGTCCTTTACCCCAATGCTACTATGATAACTACTTCTGAACTAGCAACACAGGCAGTTATCACTGCTCATACTATTAGCATTCAGTTAGTTTCTGTCCGTGCTAATACTACTGAATGGGGCCCAAAAATTAATTGCTAGGAAAGCAGTTCCTTGCTTTCTCATTCTTTTTCCTTTTTGCTTCCCCACCTACCTTCTACACTGGGAAGAAGTCACTTCACATCTCTGGGTGTCAGTTTGCTCAACTCTAAGGTGGGGATGAGGCCCAGCCAGCTTTGCAGTCTGATGAGAATCAAGTAAGACAATCTCTGTGAAAATGCGTTTCCAAACTCAGTGCTGTATTTAGGACATTATCGCATTACCAAGCTTGGGTGTGAGATAGACTAGTCAATATCTTCCTCTTTTTTCAGGGACTTAAGTTGTGCCATGTCTAGTAATTTTCTCAGTCTCTGGGGAAATGGAATTCTGCCTCAAGTGTTCTCAGTTTTGCTGGTTTGCCAGGGCTGTGTGTGTGTGTGTGTGTGTGTGTGTGTGTGTGTGTGTAGAGAGGGAAGCAGTGAATCTTTTCCAAATGTATTAAAATGCCAACAAGAGCAAGCTAATATGTGATAATTGACTCAATACTCTCGTGTCCAAATTTTAATAGATGACCCTGTTCTGTAAATTTCAGACTCCATTTCACAAGTGTGTGACTGTTGATTTGTTCAGCATCAATGATGTTCTTAGGACAACGTAAGGAAAGAAGACACAATATGTGCCCTAGAGGCAGACAATCTAAGAAAGAGAATTTAAAAAGCCTAGAATGAGATTTTTCACATAAGCGAGCTCATTCCATGTAAAATTCTAACAACAAAACAAAACGTGGGAGAGGTAACCTTCAGGAAGAAGGGCATTTTCTAGGAAGTAGTTAATGCAAAGGCTTTTTGGTAATCTTCTAACCAACTGGTCAACACATGAAGCAGGTGGATCTGTGCTCACCGTTAGTGCACAAGTGCGCATCCCCCTAAGCATGCAATCACACGCACCTTCACAAATGCAGCGCATCTGCAGACTTGCATCTTCCTAAAGAGTTTTCCTGCCTTGGTTCAGAAGAACATCACCCGCTCTGGTGAAACGAAACCCTTGAGTCCATAAATCCCCATCCATCTTGCAGCTCTCTGTCAGCTTCCCAGCACACTGGAGGTATCATAGTTCCAGCACATATATAGTTCTTGCCAGGCACAGTGGAACATTGGAAATGGGCAAGTACAACTGGTCTTGCTGAGGGATCTTGTTTGAAAGAGCCGAGTTAATTTCCCCTTGGAGTTTCAAAAGGAGCTGGGAATGAAAAACAAGATTTCCCCAAAGCCTGGAGAGTACAGATGCTGAGGTGCAGAAGATGCAGCCAACCCCAGAGCTTTCAGTTAGTATGAAGGGGTAAGATTGTTTTAGATGTGACAGTGTGACAAAAGCACTGACCAGGGATTCTGAGAAGCATAATACTATTGTCTCACATTTGAATACCTCTGAAATGAGGATGTGTGATGTGATGGATGGTGCCTTGGAGGCAATGAAATACAGTGCTTCAGTATTAGCTGGAACCCTTCCCCGCTGCTGGATGCTCAGATGTGGCCATCCTGAGATCTGTTCTCTTTTGGACCTTCTAAAGAATCAGCAACTCCTTGGTGAATGCCTGACACAGCAGGAGTGATTCTCAGACCCAGCTCGGGTCTTTTCTGATTGGCCTAGGAGCTACACTCGTTTAGGACTCATTGAAGTGCCACTCATGTCCTCTCTTTGAATGAAAGCATCTCTCATGGAAGGTATGGGACAGATCCTCACCTGGAGGGAAGGGGACCCAATGGTGACAGGGAGGCGTGTTCCCCATGGGCTGCTGAAGGAGGCTCTCACTGCACTTCCTGCAGACCAGAAGGCACATTGCGAGAGTCTCTCCAGCTCTGCGCAGTCTCAGCTCTGCAGGCTGCTGCTTGCATGACATGTGTGC